CCAGTGGTTCAAGCTCACCAGCCACTCCTTGAAAATCCTATACAGGGTCGCTGTGAGTGGAACCAACTTGACAGCACTTAACAACAACAACTTAAGTGCAGTGCTGTAACTATTGTTGCTGCTGGAGATTTCCCCTGAAAGTTTAAAAAAATTCTTTGTTTTTTCCTTCTCTTACAAGTTCTTGACAAAATAACAAAAGAATAAAATAGTTAGGGGGTGTTTAAAAAAGCATTTTATCAAACTGATCCCAGTTCTAGAAATGCAAAACTGTAGGTAAAAGCAGTGATGAGAAATGGAAAAGAAAGGACAAAAAGGCAAACGAAATAGAGCCAATTTCTTGTTGTTTTTGGCAGTCATTTAAAATGTCAGAAAGCCAATATGAACCATAATAATCTGAAAAAACTCAATTACAGTGTTTACACTGATCATAAAAGACTTCAAATACCATTTTTTTCAAGTTAGAATTTTTATAGTTTTGACATCCTGAGTGTTGGCTCCCAATGGGCTCTCATTATTTTACTGGATATTTTGCACCTGTATTAACTCTTTGAGGCAAGAAGTATTTTTCTGTCTTATATCTGAGATAGTGAAAATGTTAATAATCCTGATGGTTTATGGCTTCTTTTTTTTGACAGAGGAGTAGTTCTACTGTGCTTGGCGAGTGGATTGATGCTTTCCGTTTGTTCATGGTTTCCTGGTTCCAGTATAATCTGGTGGGTTACAGGTATGTGGAATTTACCTGTAGAGATGCTAGTCATTCTGTTTGGTCATTCAATCAATATACCTGCAAGCATGTGCATCTGGACTGGAAGTAAATGACTGAAATAGTTTTACAAATACATACTGTTACCAAGTGGGCTATTCCAATCAGCTGTAGCAACTTAACCCAAATATAACCAAGGTCACCGGTCACCACTGTTTCCATGTTCCTAATTTTTCCTACTTCATTCTTGCTCTCCCCCTGCGGCTATCCCACCCCCTGACTATGCTACTAAATGATAGCGGATTTTACTGAAAGTTTGAGGAGATAAAAGGGCAGTTCACTGCTAGGTTGTTAATCTCATTTCCTCTTGAAGAGGATACATTTCTTTGTATTTCTGTTTTGCAGTTGGACGTCCTGTTGGACCTCCATAATGAAACTATGAAACGTAATTTCCCTTTCTCCTTTACATGCAACACTATAGTGCCCTGCCCTGTACCCAGGTTTTGCTTCTCTGTTTGCTTATTCAAAGACTTGGACCATCTCCTCCCAGTCACACCCTTTAGAATCTCAGAAATATTGATGAAAACTATTATATTTCAAACCAATTTCTGTAGAGTCAATTCTAAATCACAGTGACTCCATGTCTGTCACAATATAACTGTGCTTCCGAGAGTTTTCAATGGCTGACTTTCCAGAAATAGATCACTAGGTACCTCTGGGTAAACTTGAACCTCCAGCCTTTTTGGAAAGCACCTAAATTCATTCACTGAAACAAAGTGTATAATTTGTTGACTGTAAATCTGATGATCTTGTCTTTTACTCTTCACTCAATTCACAATCAAAAGTTCAAATAAATAAATTCATAAACTGTTGGCACCACCCAGAGACTCCCATTTTCTCCTCTTTCATCAGTCTTTGTGAACAGGAGGGTGAAATATACTCGTTTTCCTCTGAATGAGTGGTGTTAGTCATCCCCCTTCCCCCTTGAAAAGCAGATGTGGTTATAGCCAGTTTTGGTATTAAATAAAAGTCCTTGCTCAGAACCCCTGGTTTCTGAGAAGATAGGTGCCTCTCCAGTGACTGGTCCCTCCTGACTATATGTCCAAAGTATGA